CCAAGCATTTGCAGAAACCAACAAACCTGCTTATGTGTGTATCTGAGAACTTGACTCCTCGATTAGAAGTAAAAAAGAGAACATGACTTAACATTAGAAAATGATAAAGGGAGACCTTAAACTCTTGCTTTCAGACTTCCCACCCAAAGGAAATCTTAATATTCAGTTTCCTTTTGGAAGAGATCTAGTTCAGTTTTGCTTTCATCCTATCAACAAAACTTCATTCTGAAAGGACAGAGATAAGTAACACAGGCAATGTGAACACAGCTGCCCATTCTCCATCCAAATGCAGTACAGTCATATACGGTCAGTGAGAAAGTACGGTATTTAACTACTCTACCATCTCAGGTACTGATTAGAGAATCTGTGTATCTGTGAAAAAACTCAGTGCTTATCTCCATGATGGCAATATTAAACTCGGAAAAATCTATGGGGAGAAGGCTCCTGTGAGCTTATGGCAGAGTACCAAGAGGATTCTCCTCTTGCTCAATCATCTCAGGGATTACGTTTTACCAAAAGTAGGTAAAGTAAATAATTCCTGGAACAATCAGGTAACAAGTACTAACGAAAACTCAGTGACCCACACCATTTCTGTACCAGCTAAGTCAGGCTAAAGACTACTACAGTGCTTGTAGAACAGCATGTTCCATACAAAAGCAATACCTGCAAAGAAAAAGGTTACATAAACTTTGAGCTTGTCCTCAGAGAAAGATGCAGAAAAGTAGAAAGTACATAAACAATACAGTGAATCGCAGAAGTGAGTGGAAGCCTGTGTATCCCAAAACAAACACACTAGTTAGAAACAGTGTCAGTTTCTGGGGACAGATTAACTAACATTTTCAGTTAGAAAGCTGAGCTACAGGCAATGCTTTCTTTGTAATATTAAACCAAATTCTGTCAAGGCCAGCTCCCTGCCAGTCACTTCACACTCTTACTATATGTCATATGAACTGCTATTTGAACTTGGTACGTGGTAGTCTCATTTACTCATTCAAAATTTCAGTTTCTGTACAAAAGAAACATTGCTCATCCTCAGTTATTATCTCAGTATAGAGAAAAAAAATCTTGCTTATTGATGAATAAATCAATGAAAAGTCTCCTATATATTTAATTCTTATATATACTATTAAAACAAGAAGAGAAAACCACAATTATTTTTAATACAACACAGAGCTGAGATCTGTCATCTTTAAAAGATACTGTATGAATCCAATGATATTTTCTATTAGAATGAAATCAAATACTGTTAAGATAAACTATGTTAGCAACTTCCTTCAAATGCATTAGCAATAATGATTTCAAAAAAGTATATTCTACATATAATAGAAAAGGTATCTCTTTTTAAAGGCATCTCTCAATTATTAATTCAGAGATACCAGTCTTCAAAAATAATCGCTATAACGAAATAACTCATATAATAATGAAAAGTACTTATTTCTGGCTTGCTTTTTTTTTTTTTTTTTTTGTTTCCTAAGTGATACCAAATATATTGATCACATTGAAAAGTCAGGAAAAGAATTCTATTCTTTTCTTATTTAATAATATAAACCCATATAGATGTGACATATCCAGTGGAACCAATGACATGGTATTTCAGATTAAGAATAACACAAAATACTTGAAGATTAATAAGATGATGTGGACATTGAGGGGCATATTCACAAGGACCACAGTTTGGATTCAAAGGTACCAGCAGGACAATGCACCTGAATGTTAACAGTAATTCTTGGAGAAGTGAAGGCTCTGATCTATGATTGTTTAGGTGTTTTTTATACTGTGTAAGTACTGCTTTGATGCTGGAAAAATAAATTTTTGGTCATTCAAAATGGAAATCACAGAGAAATAAAAAGTAGAATATCTGAGCAGAGGTTCCAGGTTACATTCATACATGGTCCTTGGTTGCATGTCACTCTCAGAAAAGACCCTGTGCCCAGATATATTTGGTCCTTGTAGAGCTCCTATCCTTTCCTCATCAGACCAACTCCCCTTCTTTCTTTTGATTCCCTGTACTCTGCCAAAAGTTTGGTCATGAGTCTTTGCTTTGAAAACACTGCAAGTTAGAGTCTTTCAAATGCGCTCAGTAGACTCCTGTCATATGTTCAATGCGCATCCCATCGGGAATGAGGGATCGGGACATGGCTGGGATACAGAGTTAACAGAATGTAACTGATAAGAAAAAAATAAAATTCAAAAAAAAAAAAAAGAAAATCAGCAAAAAAAAGTAGAATATTACTAATATTCTATTGGGAGGTCCATTAAAACTTGATTTCTATGAGAGTTCAGTTTTCCAAAGTGACATAACAGCATCCCTGAAAAGCTCTGCATCATAGTCCCTCAGGTCAAACCCCAACAATACAGCTCATCTGCCATCAATAATCAGCTAGATGACTTAACTAGGTGAGCAAATGTTCAAATACTATAATTATGTACCACAAATTAGGCTAAAATTTTAATTTAAGATTATTCCAAAAGCATATTTTAACAGCCAATAGTATATCTCTCTGATATTCCTTTTTGGTAATACTTTCAGACAGTCCTTGAACATTTCCTGATTTTAAACATAAACATGGAATTGCCTTAGATGGCTTTTCCCTTCTACAAGAAACAAGTATGATACACTATTATGCTCCTTTTGCTTCTAAACTTATACACTAGTCTATCACAGTGTAGGTAGAGTGCAGGGCAGCACAGCGGCCCCTTCCTGCAGGGAAACCTTAGGTGCATTTCTCCTCCTGAACTGTGAACTACCAGAATTTACCAGTGAAGCTGATGATTTTCATTAAAGCTTTTAATCCTTGGTGGCTTAAAAATAAAATTATTAAGGCTGAAAATAAAACTACAGCACAATACTTTGCTTCCCTGGTTAGTGGCAACTTTTTTTTTTCCTTTTACTAAAAATAGATTTTTAAATAATGTATTCTGATTATGGTTTCCCCTCCCCATACCCCTCCCAGTTCCTCCCTGACTTCCATAACACCTGGATCTACAACCATTTCTGTCTCTTATTAGAAAACTAACAGGCATCTACAGAATAATAATGAAACAAAATAAAATGAGGTAACTATACAAGGACATTTGCTCAACCATGTTTGTAGCAGCTCTATTTGTAATAGTCAGAAGCTGGAAACAACCCAGATGTCCCTCAATGGAGGAATGGATACAGAAATTGTGGTATATTTACATACTGGAATACTGCTCAGCTATTAAAAACAAGGAAATCATGAAATTTGCAGGTAAATGGTGGGAACTAGAAAAGATCATCCTGAGTGAGGTATCCCAGAAGCAGAAAGACAAACATGGCATATAGTGACTCATAAGTGGATATTGGTTGTGTAATATAGGATTAACATACTAAATCTATACTCCTAAAGAAGCTAAACAACAAGACCCTAGGGAAGATGTCCAATCCTCACTCAGAAGTACGAACATGATAGACATCGGAATCAGGGAACAGCACAAGATCCAACCACAGAGGGTCTCTGAAAGACTCTACTGATGAAGGTCTCAAAGCAGAGGCTGAGACTCACAGCCAAACTTTGGGCAGAGTGCAGTAAATCTTATGAAAGAAGGGGGAGATAGAAAGACTTGGAGGGGAAAGGAGCTACAAAAAGAGACCAACAGAGCCATAAAAACTGAGCCCTGGGGTCCATGAAAAGAATGATACTCCAATGAAGGGCAATGCATGGAGAGGACCTAAAACCCCTGCTCAGATGTAACCCAAACTCAGTCTCCGGGGGGGCGGGGTCCCTAATAAGGGGAGCAGGGACTTTCCTGGCATGAACTTCAGTGGCAGGCTTTCTAATCATGTCCCCCGTGGGGGCGGGGGGTGCAGCTTTGCCAGGCCACAAAGGAAGACAATGCCACCATCTCTGATGAGATCTGATAGGTTAGGATCAAACAGAAGGGCTGATAGAGGACCTCCTCTATCAGCGGACTAGAGGAGGCACATAGTAGAAGAGGGAGGGAGGAGTCCACAGCTGGGATACAAATTGAATAAATTGTAATAAATGATAATAATAAAAATTTTAAAACTGAGATAAATAAAAAACAAAGAAAGTGACCCTTTCAACTTTATAAAATATACAGATGTTTCTGTAATGTTGTAAGCAAATATGTTAAGTTTTTGAAAAAGTTTCTATTACCATTAGAAAACACACTATAAAATAAGAGAAAACAGCACAGTGGGCATACCTCTTTCCTCAGGGCTTCCACCCAGCTTTAGAATCCATTCCTAGTTAACCCTGCATCATTTACAGAGACCCCACATCCCAGTCACCCTAGGCTCTTTTCACCTAAACCCCAGACATTGTGTCTTTTTGACTGTGAAGTGTCAGTACAGTGCTTAGAAGAATACTGAAGCATGCTAACACCAATATTGTCATGTCTAGAAAAAAAAAAAAAGTTCAATTTTTTCCACAGTTATTTGTAGAGATTACAATTGGTAGCTATGTCCCTCTAGTCTGTCTCCCTTTGTTCTATCTGTACCCTTCCAGTACTTCCTTTCTTCTCTTCCTTCCTTCTCTAATGATAGGGATTGAACTATCCCTGCATGTACACTGGGCAAGTGACACCCATAGCCTCCTTTGAGTCTCTTTTACTCAGTTTCCTTTTTTTCTCTCTTTTCCTCACCTTTTACTCTCTCCTATGCTGCATTGGGTGGAAGAAATCAGTCTGGGTGTTCTACAGAACTGCCCTAAGTCAGTGTTTTCTGTATGTAAATGTGTTAAAGACAAGGACTGTTACAAACTTGTTATCAAGTAATAATGAAGGAAAGAGAATGTGTTTGACTTACAAGCCTACCAGAGGACCAGTGATAGGAGAAACATAACATACAATGGCTAACTAAAGGGAGAAAGGCCCATGGGAAAGATCTGCTCCATGGCTAGTTTCAGAAACATATGATCACATTTTTTCGCTTGCGGAATACACTAAAATGTCAATGAAGCACCACCCGAACCTTATGTGTCTGCAGCATGAACAGGGAATAAGACAGGACTCACCAGTTTTCATTTCTAGTAAGCGCTTTTTCTCTTGCTGACGTTCAAGTCGTTCTTTCTCTGCTTTCTCTTTTGCTATTCTGGCACGTTTGTTTTTTTCTTCTGCTTCCCGTTTTTTGATGTTTTCATTTAATGCTTGCTAATACAGAAAAATTTTGAAAATGATTAATTTTAACCAGTGACTTCACAAAAAATTATCTAAAAATCTTACACAAGGTACAACCAAGAGTGAATACTTTTTGGTTAACGGTTAGTTTTTAGATGAGTAGCAGCCATGTAATATATACACAGAAACCCTTTTTAAATATCAATAAATAACCTGCATGTAAATGGGATTACTGGAAAGGGAAAAGAGACAGAAACTAAAAATAAAAAAAGGTATTTAGTACACAAATCAAGTCTGCTCTCTAAGCGTTTTCTGTATTTTTCTCTTCTATAAGCTATTCAACTTTAAGGGAAGCGGGTGAAGAAATGATAAAAAAAAATGTGAAATCTTTATCTAATGGTCAGGAACCAATGTTTTTTTTCATGTAGAAAAGGGCATCATGAAGGCAACTGTATAAATATTTGATGTTTCAAAGTAAGATCCTGTGACTGTTGATCAAAACCAATAACATGCAAATGAAAAGAAGATCTCAGTGGATATGTGATTAGTTAATTAGTTTCATATTTCTAAGTTTTATACCAATCAAGCAATGCCTCTCATGTGGCATTAGTGAGAATCAGCAGGTAAAGGTGGAATTTAGTAAGTGCCAACAAACAGCATGGCATCAGATTACATCAAACAGACTGTATTTTATTTAAGTGTCAATGAAAACAAACAGGTTACATGTTAATTACCAATAATATTTTAAAAGCATACAATTAAACTGTAAGTATCCTAGTATTTTTCTTTTAAATGCAGTTCTAGAGATTGACCCCAGGGCTGCAGCACACCAGGCAAGAGCTCTACCAGCTGAACTACATCCCCAGCTTTTTCTGCTTTCTTTTTGGTTGTTGCAGTGTTTGGCATTACTTTTTTTCGTGTAGAAAAGATGCATAAATCATAAAGAACACAGAAGCTGTGAAGTTACTTTATACTAGTTTTACACTACATGAAGCCCCCTCTGGTTTGATTAAAGCTGAACTGTAAAGAGTGTGGTGGTTTGAAAAAGAATGGTCTACATAGGCTCATATACTTGAATGCTTAGTCATCAGGGAATGCTGCTATCTGAAAGGATTACAAAGATTTAAGAGGTGTAATGTTGGGGGGAAGATGGCGGTGGCTGTTCTGCAGCGTGCATGGACCGTGGAGCGGTTGCGCAGCAAGCATCTGCCCAAGAAGGACATTATCAAGTTTCTGCAGGGTCACGGTTCAGATTCATTTCTTGCAGAACATAAATGATTGGGAAACATAAAAAAATGTAGCTAAGACTGCTAATAAGGACCATTTGGTTACTGCCTATAACCATCTTTTTGAAAGTAAGCTTTTCAAGGGTACTGAAACTGTAAGTAAAGTGTCCAAGCAAGTGAAAAACGTGAAGCTTAATGATGATAAACCCAAAGAAACCAAGTCTGAAGAGACTCTTGATGAGGGTCCACCGAAATACACAAAATCTGTCCTAAAAAAGGGGAGATAAAACCAACTTTCCAAAAAAGGGAGATGTTGTTCACTGCTGGTATACAGAAACACTCCCAGACGGAACTGTTTTTGATACTAATATTCAAACAAGTTCAAAGAAAAAGAAAAATGCCAAGCCGTTAAGTTTTAAGGTTGGAGTAGGCAAAGTTATCAGAGGATTGGATGAGGCCCTCCTGACTATGAGTAAAGGAGAAAAGGCTCGACTGGAGATTGAGCCAGAATGGGCCTATGGAAAGAAAGGACAGCCCAATGCCAAAATTCCACCAAATACCAATCTCATTTTTGAAGTGGAATTAGTAGACATTGACTGAAACCAGTGCTTCAGATAAGATGTCAGCAAAAACAAAGACTTGACGTGACTAATTAGTGCTTGTTACTATTGTAAGGGAAAAGCCAACTGGAAAATTTAAGACATTAAAGCTTGTTTACTTGATCTCAGTTTTTGAGAACTGTAAACCCCCCCCCCCGTAAGTTTAAGTCTCAGATATTTTACTACAGCTATGTAAAGTATTAAGGAGAATTGCTTTTCCTTTTACCTCATAAACTAAAAGTCTCAATAAAACTGTCATGGATTGTCTTGGAAAAAAAAAAAAAGGTGTAATGTTGGAGTAGGTGTGGCCTTGTTGGAGGAAGTATGGGATGGGTTTTGAGGTTTCAAAAGACATGCCAAGCCCAGTATGTCTCTCTGTCCATGATTCTTCAGCACCATGCTAGCTGCCATGCTACCTGCCATGGTACTAATGAATTGATCCTCTAAAATTGTAAGCAAGTTCCCAATTAAATACTTTCTTTCATAAGAGTTGGCAGGCATGGTATCTCTTCATGAAAATAGAACGCTGACTAAGGCACTAATTGATGCTCTGTGAAAGAACAGGCAGAGCAAAGTGCTCACCAAGTGACTGAGTTTTAGACATGGAAAGAGAGAGAAAGTAGTAATGAGGTTAGAAGAGTTAAGTTGTACTAATGCAAGTTCTTGGAAAGAATCATACCTTACCTGGAACCTTCTCTGCAAGGTGGGTCAACTGATTAGAATTTCAATTAGTGTGGAGAAAGTTTTAGGTCCAGAGCCTAATTATAATTTATCATGGGCTATTCTTAGCCCACTTAATAGCCATTGCTTGCCCATCTTTCTGACCTAGCATCCTTGTGATTATTAGATAAATCCTTAAGAATATACAAATAGACCACTAGCTTCTACTAACCAAAAGGTTAAGAATAACATCAAATAGCATAAGACCCTTAAGAGAGACTGCCCTGGTTGCTGTAACCCCCTCATGTGATGCTTACACCAACATATTTGATTTATAATTTTCTTATTCAGTTACAATATGAGTTCATGAAACTATGACATACTAAAACATAGAATGAGAAGCAGAACCTGCATTCCCAGGCCATGGTCAAACATCTTTGGCTCTAGATAAACTAATCCCCTCTTTGAGGTGACAATTATATTTTTGCGTGGGCAGGTGAAACCTGATGACTGAGGATTTTCCAGGCCAATATAAGATCATCTCTGAAGTTTTTAGACATTAAACTATGAGACCAAACACTGAGACAACAGCATTAAGCAAGTACCTCCATTCCAACGGTTATCTGCTATCTCACAAGTACTTCAGTTTCTGGAGATGGAGGCAATATAACCCATTAAAGCAAATCAACTTCGTTGTCGTTCAGAAATATAAAAGGGGAAAGGATGCCAGCCTCCCTACGCTCCAGATTCTCTTCTGAAATACAAACCGTTATCTATATAGCTGGGGCTTGGGTGTTGTCACAATGCCTTGTGAAAATTGAGGCTCAGGAAATGTTTCTCTAAGTAACAAACTATTCTCTGGCACTGTCTCAGGTCTTTGGCCAAAAGCCTGGAGAAAAAGTCTCAAACTCTTCACAGTTTGTAATTGATATTAACACCAATTATTGCTAAACTATAAAGTGGTTTCTCTGACTCTTGATGTTTTCATTTACGATCCTGCTAAAATTTGAACTAGATTCTACACTGCTTTTTCTGGCAGAATCTGATCAAGTACTTGTAAAAGCAGTAGGTCAGTAAGTTGCATTTATAAGTGGCCTACGTAAATGTACTATAGCCACATATGACAATAGTCAGTATGATGTGACAACAGCAGATACAGAAATCAACATAATTTGGGATTTTCTTGTATTCCAAATCATAAACTAAGCAGACAGAGATGACAATTCCAAAACAAACAAACAAACAAACAAAATAAACAAAAAGTAAATAGAGTAAAGGTTCCTTGACCAAAAGTGTTCACATTGTAGCCATCTATACTGTGGAAAAAAAGAATAAACAAATACTCTTCTTGAGAAAAATAAATAGAAACAAAGTAAAGCATCTAACATTACATCTCAGAGCTTATTTATGAATTGCACTAACTTCTAAAATTTTATAGTGTAAATTCTACGTTAATGGCTGGATACATTTGAATGTAAACATTTACTAAAACTTCTTTAACCTTATAAAACTACCACACCCTTTTAGGGGAATACAAATTCAAAGGTACTTTCCAAGACCTATAAAAATATTGACCTTTAGAAATATAGCCCACAGTAGTTCCTAAAGACACCATGTTTTAGGAAAAATGCACTATTAATTTTCATTTAAAAGTCTACCTCATTTAAACTTATTTTATTCTGACATTATAACTGTTAGGAGAATTTTAGCTGAAGAAAAACCAAGAGGTAGCATATAAATGCGCACTTAGCCTGCAACTAACATCATAGGACAAATAGTAATTTGGGATTTTCTTGTAGGCCAAATCATAAGAAATAAAAGTAGCTGCAAACAGCAAAACTCAACAGAGAATGATTATTATCTTAGATAAAATTGCCTTTTCGTTATATAAATCCTAAATTCAAAGCTCCTAAGGGTGGCTGAGCAGAAATTTCAACTGATGGATGATGAGACACTAATTCTAAAAAGGAATCTTATACCTGACCTCCTGTGGGCAATCGGCAAACGCGTAACACTACTGACTTCGCTCAACAACATACTTTGATGTGAGATCCTACGTGCCTTCTACCTGATGCAGCCCATATTGAAAGATATGTGAGTCTATCAGTTCACATTACGGACCACAGAGGACTTTCAAACTCCAGCCAGATTTTGACTATTCATTCACATAAAAACCAATAACCAAAACTATATCCTAAGACTCACATACTTTTCGTGACTGTCTACATAATGACACTCAAGTATACAAACAAACACATAAATCCCAACATGTATGCATCTGCTAGCAAATACATGGCTTCTGGAGGGAAATACAGCGCTTCTATATAGTCACACCTATAATGTAACATAACTGGTATAAGAAGAGTTCTTCTATGGGTGGTTCAAATATTTGTTACATTACATACATTTCTCTAGAGAAATCAAAATGAGTCAAAGCCAGTAAATTTAAATGAGTATGTGTATGCATGTAGGTACACGTGCATTTGTGTGTAAAAGTTAGAACTGTCAGACAGAGAGTAATGGGGTATGCATTATGGTATGGTTAATA